GCTTCTCACTTGTGTAATAATGCCCACATTTGGGATCAGTAATTTACATTTCTAAAAAGCTCACCAAGTTTAGAAATCACCAATCTATCATTAAACCTGATCAACAAAAAAAATTGGTGAGTCTAAATATTTATAGTAGCTTAAGGTTACATTACTTACAAAGTTATCTTAAATGGCTACAACATGTGTGTTAAAAGTTATAGTGGTCAGGGCTGGAGAGATGGCTCGGCAGTTAAGAGCACTGACTGCTCTTGCAAAGGACCTGGGTTCGATTCCCAGCACCCACATGGCAGCTACAAACCATCCTTAACTCCAGTTCCAAGGGAATCCGAAGCCCTCGTCTGACCTCCATGGCATTGCACGACATGGGTGCACTCACATACATGCAGGCAATACATTCACTCCCCTGCTGTTCGCTACTCCCACTTTGGGACCTGCGCCATTCCTAGTCTTGGGGCCCCAGACACCTGGGGAACCAATACTCCTTCCTGATCCTTCTCACCCAGACCAACTGAGTGCCTTTCTTGGGCCCCAGGTCCTGGTCCCGCCCTCATTTCTCTCTGCGGCCCTGGACCTGCACCACCAGCTAACTCTCCTAGCCTGCACTCCTATCCTCAGGCCTCTTGGGGTAAGTCTATAGCGCAGCCCTCAGTGCCTTGACTCCCCAAGCCACATTCACCCTTCCATCTCCCCCGCTGTTCACTACTCCTAGTTTGGGACCTGCGCCATCCCTAGACTTGGGGCCCCAGACACCGGGGGAACCAATACTGCTTTCCTGACCCTTCTCACCCAGACCAAATTAGTGCCTTTCTTGGGCCCCAGGGGCACTGCTTCCAGACCTGGTGCCGCCCTCACCTCCCTCTACTTCCCTGGTCCTGCAACACCTGCCAGCCTCTTGCTGGGGCTGACAGACTCTTTCTGGGGCTCCGAGGCTTACCTTTCCTCTCCCTGATCCTTTGCATCCAGTACAACCCAGCTACTCAATCCACTCCCTGGGAAATCTTGGGGCTTCTTCCCACCACATCTGCCTTTGCATCCCTGTGTGGCACGGCCACTGCCAGGGTCTGAGGTCAGTCCAACACCCAAGTTCCTGAGGCCAAAATCATTCTTAGAA